TTTAATGCATATTCACTGTTCTTTCTGTGTGTCAGCAGGTAGACAGCCATCTGGATTAATGTTCACTGAGAGGGTCTCTGTTGTAGCTGGGCTTTTAGATGAGCTCTTGGCAGACACATTGAATACCTCTGCTCTGTAAATGAGCTCGAACCTCCAGTGTGGCAGCTTTGCTTTTAATTGCTAGAACAGCAGTATGGAACTGTTAGAGCAGTTCAGAATCTCACAGTAGATAGACTGAAGCTGTAATTAATAAATTCTTTCTGTCCCATTAATTTGCCCCTTTGAGGAAAAAAAAGCATCTCCCGTTCCTGTATTTCTCTCTTTCCACGTCTCTCTCCTTTCTTGTGTGACAGTAATAGTGTATCTGTATCAGTACTGTAGAACACAACGTCATCACCTATTCATCCAAGAAACTTGACAGCAGTGCTTCTGTCACTAGCTATGAAGGCAGCCATTTCTGTGGAGCAGGAAGCGCTCCAATAGAGTAGTTCTACGGCAGAACTACTTCCCTCTCCACGGTCCTGCTAATAATAACACCTTTCAGGCTAAGGCCCAATTAGACAGCTGGCTAGCCACTGAAACCACAAGGAAAGGGTCAGGCTGAGGCCAAACCAGCAGAGAAAGGTGCGTGTGTAAGAGAGATGAGAAAAGAGCAAGAGAACAGAGGGTTGCAATGAGGGAAGGAGCTGTTTCCACGTGTGTGTGTGTGTGTGTGTTCAGCCAGCAGAAAAGAAATATGACCTTTTCACAGAGGATGCCTGGGCCAGTAACATGTGTTCAACAACAGGCAGCACGAGCAATTAACTTAAAGCAATAGTTCACACAAAAATACAGCGCAGAGACAACGATATTCAATTAAATGCCTTTTATAAATGCCTGCTGAGTCCTATACCTAAAACACAGGCCACAAACATTTACACAGGCCACATGAAATATGTCTGACGTTAAATCTTTAAAGATCTTTCACATAAATAGGATTTTGAATATTTTTAGTTGTACTCCTGTTCCTTCACCACATGTGAGTTTCATATAATAATATTGTAACATTAAAAATACAATTTAGGTTACCAAGGAAGTCATTAAACTAGACTTGCTAAAAAAAAAAAATTCACTTTCTATTTTTGTCACCCTTTGTCCAGTGTCAACTTTACCCAACCTAATATCATTTCTCTTCTATAAAGGTCAAATAGTGAGTTAACCCAGACATTAATACTTTGTGTGTCTTTCTGTGTGTATATGCTTGTGCGCCTGTGTATTGTATCTATCCAGTGCCAGAGCCTGCTCCCACTAAGCCCAGTCCCGGCCCACCCCACCACCTCCACCTCACCAGCCCTACGCTGCCCCTCTCCTCCTCCTCCTCCTCTTCTTCTGGCAATGGCAAGCGCGCCTCCTACAGTAGCCAGCTCGCAACTCAGACTCCCCCTCAGCAGCAGTGCCAGTTGTCTTCTGCCAGTGCTCGCTACCCGCCCAGAGAGGTGCCCCCACGCTTCCGCCAGCAGGAGCACAAGCAGCTACTGAAGAGAGGCCAGCCGCTGCCTGCAGGAGCCCTCGGCGACCTCCCCCTCTCCTCCTCCTCGTCCTCCTCTTCACCCTCATCATCCTACTCTCCTTCTTCTACAACTACCAGCAGCACTACCCCAAACTCTGCCACGACCACTGCAGGCAAACGCCACCCAGGTTTGTGTTAACAAAGTTCAAACAAATTGCACTAGAATAGATTTCTGGTGTTTTTTGTTTTTTTTTTTGCATTAGACCTTTCAATATGTGCAAATTATTCATCTTAAAACTTCATTTATTTAGATTTTGTTACTTGCTTTCATGCATATTGGTTGTATTTTGGCTACATCCTTAGTGAAATGTCACTTGATAAACTCAGTAACTCGTCTTTTAAATCTAGCATCCTGCGTTGACATTAGCTTTTCTCACTTTGATTATCCTGAATTTAGTTTATTTAGGATCCTACATCCACTATGTACTACTTCATTCCAGAGTTGGAATTCAGTTTGCCTTGGCACAGATATAGTGGTATGTAATGTCGAATTGACATATTTACTGCATTGTAGGCAACAATAAATTACATAGTGATTCTAATTGTAGTTTAACAGAGCACCTTGACTTCCTGTCAGCATAAAATATATAGCTCCTAAATTATGTGGAAAGGCTGACTAAATTAAAGCCCAAGACTCAAGTCTCATGTGTTTTCAGTTGCTGCTGCCCCTGCTTTTTGCTTATACTTTCCTCAGAAAGGAGTCTGTAGCTATATGCCTGTTTCCAAAGTAGTTCTGTGCTATTAGGACGTGCAAGCCTGGAACCTGGTGCTTGCAGCACTAGGAATAATAATGCCAAATTCCTGCAAAGGCTAGGAAAACCCTGTTTAGATGAGAAGAACGTGGTTCAGTTGTTTGATCTTCTGTCTACTGTTTTTCTTCACACAGAAACACATACTCAGATCTCTATAGTCAGAGGTGGTCTTTTTGATTTTTGGATTTTAACCATTATTTATACTTTTTTTGTTATCTTGAACTCATCCTTGCATTCTGAGGGGTTAATTTTTTTTCTGTTCATAAAGCAGCCATAGCCATTTGCTGAATGGTGTGGCAGCACCTCACATCCTCTAACGTGACACACTGTAACTTTGAAGGCATAGATGTGAGGATATCTCTGTAGCACGCCACTGTGTTTTCACATTCAGCGCTCTGAGCAGGAGCTAGTGTGAACATCTGCTCGCGTCTTTGAGTTGCTTTTGTCTCTGTCTCGTTCTTTCATTTAATCAGCTCTGTTTTACTTCTTGGTGCTGTCTTTCATTACTGACTCAACATTTGTTTGGAGAACAGCGGGCACTTTATTAAACAAGCCTGCAGCAGCTGTGCTGCATGGCTAGCTTACCTACAGAAACTGTGCAGCCCTCACAGAGGGAACTGGTCCTTATATGTCATGTCTAGTCACTGTTGTACTGGTTCTTGGGTTTATGCCATCAAACAAAAGGCTGTGATAAAATGTTGAATTGGCCTTTTCTCTCAGCATTTCACAAATAGCATTTAAACAATGTTAATTGATTTTGATTCCTATGTTTTAGTTTGGGAGCTGAAACGTTTACCTCTCTGTATGCAGCTGCTCAGCGCAGGGTCTTCTGAGCGGTTGGTCAGGATCTAAATATGGCTCCAACTCAATCAAGAGTTAGCAACATCTAATCCTGTTTAGATTTTAAAGAATCGGCTTTTCTCTTGGCCTCCAGAATAAGTGCTTTAACATCTAATGTCATTGTTATTATCCTAGTCCAGCAGTTGTTGTCCTGATTGAACTTTACCTCACCCTGGTTTTCCCAGGGGGCTCTCAGTACAAAAAAACCCCTGCTGCAGAGTAACCACTAGCTGTGTTTCCACCTCATTTGCCTCTCGTTCTTGATTCTGGCATACATAATTTACAGAGCGAACATTCTAGTTAAACTCGCTGCTTGGCAGTTAAAGATTTTAGAGGTAGTTTGCTTACATATTTATTCTTAACAGTACAACTTTTTGTAGCTGAAGCCTTTGAAAAGAAAGGATATTGTGAATTTTATGCTAGTTGGATCTGTTAGGTTTCAGCAGCAGCAGATCTGAAAATGTAAATTAAGTAGAAGCAGAACAAACTTATGTTTGCATGACTTCTGCTTTTGCCAGACTCCATGTTTGCAACTCTGTGTTCTGAACTTGAAAGCATGTAAACAAATTACATGGAATTAAGTTAATTGACATGTCAAAATGGATGTACATCAAAGCTAAGAGAACAATTTATGGCCCTTTTCAAAATCTGAATCTAAATCTGTTCATATATCATGTTATGTACACTGCCTGAAAGTACAGGCAGTGTACATGTATATACATACGTGTCACTGTATGTAAAGGATTAACTATGCTTTGAGGACACATTTCTGACCTCTGCTCAGGTTACTGTGGCCCACAGGGATGTGATGATGTGATAGTTCTCTCACTCAGATACTCAAACACTTTCTCACTTTTGCACGTGTGCACATGCAAACACCAACACGAGTACATAGATGTAGTGGCTGTGTCTGTGCAGCATTAAGAACAAACACTCTAGTGTGACCTAGTTGTGTCCTCTCAAATCTGTCTGCCTTGCAAGCCAGCTGGCTCAGGAATGTATGCAAGCACACGTATAAACACTCAGTGTGGTATTATTGGGTAGATGTCCACTGGTGGTTCTGGGCTTTATTTTTTTACCCAGTTTTGGTTCTTTTGCTCACATTTACCTCAGAGAATCATCCTGCTTTCTTTTAAAGGCAGTATTAAATTTATGCAAAGTGTGTGTGAAACATTCCTACAGGCTGTCCACACAACACTCCATTCCCTCTGTCTGAAAGGCAAACCCCCCCCTAGATTCAAGATCATTCACAGCGCTCCCACATAATCTCTGTTCTCTCAACCTCATTTAATTGTCTCAAACACCAGACAGAGACCCCGTGTCTCCCTCCCTTTGCTGCACCCACCATTCCCATCTCTCCAGCTGACCGTGCACCATTAAATAGTCCAAAGCAGCCAGCAGCCATCCAGACAGGCTCCCAGTAGCAGGTGCTGGAGTGGGAGTCTCTTAAGACTATGGGAACTACAGCCCAGCAGCTGTTTACTGGTCACCCAGACATGTAGCCAGAAGGCACTCTGCTTGGTGCTGTTAAACACTTGGCCCTTTCATTCGAGCTCTTTTGATGTACAGGTAAAGCGGTTTAGTCAAGTTAAATCCTCTGTGCAGCTTTCAGTAAGAAATTGCCCTGCCTGTCCTTCAAATACCATCTCACGAAAACAGAGGTCTACTGCTTATTTATGTTTTAACAATCATCAATACTACATAGTCATAACGAGGACAGGGAGATATAGATTGCCCCATGTTCTGTGGCTGTGACATGTACGCACACAAGTGAGACAACCCCCCTAGTGGCTTCATTAATCCAGGCTCTTTCAGGGAAACCAGAGAAGTCACCATGGCCTCAGCCTCCTATTTTCTCTCTCCTCTCTGCAGAGGTAAACTGACATGAGCAATGAGCTTTTAAACCCTCCTGTGACCATTCAGTTAGTCTTTCTTTTTCTCCCTGCTTCCGGGAAAAACAAGTGCGTGTTGTCTTTGATGCAAGTGGGCATAAAGCTCCTCTCAAAGAGAAGATGGAGAGAGTCTATTTGGGGGACAAAAGACTACTAAACGTCCCCTCCTGCTCTGGTTCTAGTGTTGCGTCACCCCACAGTTTGCACTGAGAAACCTTGATTAGTCTGTGGTTCACAATCAAACTGAAGAATTCATTTATTACTACACCATTTCTCTTAATCTGTTCATGTTTTTCTCTCACCGTCTCCCTTTCTTTTCCCTTGCCACTGTCATGCCAGCCCCTCCCCCCAGACTTTTTTCCATCTCTCTTTACCATGGTCTCCCTCTCTCTTTCTGTCACCCTGCCTTTCATTTCATTCCAAGGGGAGGGGAGGCATTTAATTCTTGGCTACCTGCCCATTTCTGTAATGGCAGGTTGCCTCATTATCAGCTCATCTCTTGCTTATTTCTGCTTCAGTCCTGGTAAGCTTCAGTGTGTTGATATTGTTTCATTTCACTTTTTCAGCACAGGCATTGGTGCTGTACTCATCATTAGGAAATTTTGGTTATTATTTAGTTGTAGTCCAGGTTCTATGCAGGAAAAAGGCATGGACTTGCACATACATGCACACTAAATGGCTGCCTCGCCCCCTGTTGGAAGCATGAGGAGCCACACAGGGCCGCTTTGTTTTTATTTTTGACCTTTTTCATTCATAAAGCATAATCAGAGACTGCCCTCATAATTGCAGGCAGCCACATTACTGACACATGATTGCAAATGGTGAATGGGAATAATTGTCCCCCTTTGTTTTTTATGTTCAGCTTGCACCCCCCCACTCGCCCACCCCCACCGGATTACTGCTTTGCCAAGAATCAGCAAGACATTCTGTTGGAATGTCTGAGAAGGGAATTAAAAGGGGAACAATTGAGGCATGGTGAGGTGAAAGGAAAGAGTATGTTTTGCTGTAGTCTGCACATGCATGCATGTACATATTTATAAGGTTAGACACAATAGCATTAACACATATACAGTATAATGCAATCTATCATAATAGTCCCCTGATAAAAGCTACTTTTCTGTAGCTTATAATGTTCCGTTTTTGTTGGAGCAGGTACCTGAATTTGCTATTAGCATTGCATACAGTAACAGAAAAGTCTCTACAACTGCATATACCATAGGCCTGAGATGTTGCTCAGTCACTCAGTAGTAGCTTGCTGCAGACATACTAAGAGGATGTCTGCTGTTTCCCATCCTTGCATGGATGTGTGTAAGCACTCTGTGTGGCACTCGTGCACCTCTCCTCAGCAAGCATGTGCCAAATCAATAGATCTGAAATTTTGCCAGATCAGCTTTTCGTGACGCACTTTACACACACACACACACAACTGTGATGGAACTGAGACCTCATTCTGTCTTGCAGGCAGTGATACTTGATACCTGAACCTCAATTTGGATGCAGTTCACTTGTTGTGTAACTAAGATAAATGTACAACTAGGGCATTCTCCTTTTCATTGCAGCACTATATAGTGAAAGCTCAGATGTCACAGTAATCAAACTGCTATATTCACTATTGCTATATGTATTGCCTTGGACTTGTTACACATCATGCAGACTGAGATGAGGCATCACCCTTAACTATTAAAACCAATTTATTGCCAGAAGACAGAAAACTCACAAAAAGTCCAATTAAAGTCTTTCTGATTGAAGACTCACATCTGCTTCTGTTTTTAAAGACTGAACAACTTCTAACGTTCATCAAAAATTGGCACAGATATACTGTAGAAGTTGTGATGTTTCAGTAGTTTGAGCATAGCTGGTTGCAAACTGAACGCAGTCTAGTGTTGGTGTGCGTATGTATGTGCCATCAGTCGACGACCTTGTGTGATAAGACTGCTTGGGGAGTAGAGATAAGTATGGTTAGGCAAAAACTGCATTCACAACTGCTCTTGTGGCGTATTTCGCAGTATCATAAAACCACATATCTGCCAGTATGTGTGTGCATGTCCACACACCTCAAAGAAATGTCCCTCATCTGACTGGATAGTTTTGACCACTGGTTGTTTATCTCATGATGGATAACTTCTGGCTGCTATTGAAATAACCGAAACAATCTGATGGAAGCTAATGGAAAAGTAATGGAAGGTAAGGCAGTCTAATTACCAAACGAGACAGATATTTTGCAAACACAGCCTTGGTCTTTATAATTAAAGGTTAGTGAGCCACGCTCCTGCAGCTGTTTTGTGGGGTAGCTAGAAATGTATTATTGTTTATTAGGCTGCTAATACTTGACATTCACACTGTCTGGAATTGCACTTTGCTCATATTTAATGTGTTGCAGCCACCTTTATTAGGTGTTTATATTTCCATAAAGAATATGACATTTGTATAAGAATACATGTACATACAGTAACATACAGTATTTACTGTTATCACTGCTTTACCACTTCCTCTATTCTGAGCGTTGGAAAACAACCAAGTTCAGATAAATATCTAGCTTTCATGCACAGTTTTGGCTATTTTACAATGCACATTAAGTTTCCTTTCTTTTCATAAAGTAACTGGATGAATTTTTCTCTTCATATGCTTGGTTGACTTGTGTGCTGGTGATATTCGAGGTAGTTCTCATCTGTATTTTAGCCCATTATACGAGGCCGGCCAAATGCTTTGGGATGTATGCATGCTAGATTGATAGCCTCCCTGCTCTCACCCACCAACATTAATAAGATCATTGATTAGCTGCCTCCCACTGATTGATTACCCCTTTACAGCATTGACTCAGTCTATTATTAGATCCCCTTTTGCTGGGATGCTTTTGTGCCTAATAAAATTGCTTGTGTGTGTGTGTGTGTGATATTGTGTTGATTAAACTACTTTTGGAAAAGCTGTTTTTGAAAGTGTGGTACTGAATTTGTAGAGCATGCTTACATGTCTGAAAGTAGCAGGACCGGATTTAAAAGTGGTCTTTTGTTCCCAGATAAAATAATGATCTAGAGGTAATCACAGTTAAATGCATTCCCGTGCATACACATACAGTATAATGTATATGGGAAGTAGTGAGAGGCCAGAAGACATGCACCCATATTCGTACAAGCTTGTAGGAAGTATTTTGTGGTTGCTTAGTGCATTGCAGTTAAAGGAGGAGTAGGCTTGACAGAGCGTAGGGAGTGATGGATGAGAATCCGTCCTGGTTTCATTCCAATAAATGAGCGGCGTTCCACTTGGGCTTCCCTTCACAACCCCAGCCAGCTAAGCCGCAATAGAGACGAATGGGCCCTCTCACTTCTGGGTGTTAGAGGAAAGCAGAGGGGAGAGGGGGAGAAATTAAAGGGTGACGAAAGAGGTGGGGGCAGAAAGGGTGAAAGAAGACAGAAAAAGAGAGATTGGGGGTTTGGTAATAGATAAGGGCAGTTAGAGAGTGAGGAGGAAATAAGGGGCAAAACAAGACAGCAAGGAAAGTGGAAATGAGTTGGAAAGAGAAGTGAGAACTGAGGTTAAATGAAAAGTTAGGGTTAAAGAGAGGAGGAAAGAAGGACTGGTAAACGAAAATACATGAGGGCTCCGTCTCTGCGTTTCTGTTTGCCTGACTGCACCAGGACAAGGATATATGGGTATGCCATAGCTGATATGACATGTAACGCACTTGGCTGCGCATTCTGATTGTGTGTTGGATTGTGGAATGTGCAAGTGTGCAAGTGATAAAATTGGTCCAGGGGACTAACAGGCTACAGTATATTACATGATGGTCCTTAGTGTCACCTAATGTATTCATGTATCACCCACCCACCCATTTTTTTAATTCACTCTTTCTCTACTCTTGTTATCTCTTCTTTATCTCTTGCATTTCTACATCTTTTGTCACACATATCCAATTTGACCTCTCTTCTCTCTCTCCCTGTCTTTTTCTCTTTAGACCTATCTCTCCAGAGTGGCCCTGGTGCCCAGTATGAGACCTCTCACTGGGGAGCTTCTTTGTCAGTTGACAGCCCCTCCAGTGCCAATAGCTGGGACAAAGTGATTATTGACGGAAGTGATACACAAGCTTGGCCCACCATCAGTCGTAGTAGTGACCCAAGCCAGCCTATAATACCAGAATGCCCCTTGGGCTCAGCTAGCTCTAACTCAGACAACAGTACTGTCGCTACCACCAGTAGTAGTAGTTTTCTGAGTATGGCCACAGGTGCCGCAGGCCAGCAGGCCCACTACCCTTCACTCAAAGCTAACAATAACATGATGACAGGACCTGGGTCAGCCAACACATTAGTTGGTAGTAGAGGTTGGGGCTCAGATGGGAAACAAGATGGTATTAATGGTGGTTGTGTAGGAGGGCCCAATAACTGGGGCTCTCCCAATTTTAACTTGAACCTCAATCCCAATGCCAACCCATCAGCCTGGCCTGTTCTGGGCCATGAGGGTGGTGGGGGTGGTGGTATGGGCCCCAATGGGGTGTCCAATTCTTCATCTCTCCCACCAGGTATTAATGGCAATGGAAATGTGGGAAAAGGGAGTCTGGGAGGTGCAGATAATAGTGGGGGAAGTTGGGTTAGCATGATATGTGCTAACAAAAATGATCAGCCACACTCTTCAACCAACACAAACTTATCCTTTAATATGGAACCTGCTAACCTTAACTCTGATGGACCAAACCACACTAAGCAACAACAGCAAGCTCAGGAGCCTATGAGCCCTATCCATGGGTTAACTGGCTGGGGAGGTCAGTCACCCACTGAGTCATCCCAGCTCAATGGGGACACAACAGGCAGCTCTGTATGGTGTAGTGGAGAAACCAAGGCAGCTGACTCCCCCAAGGACTCAAGCTGGGATTCAACTCCATCTGGAGGCCTATCTGCCTGGGGCCGCCAAGGCAGTGGTGGTGGGAGTAGTGGAAGTGGTGGCTGGGGTGACTGGGGGAAATCCTCTGGTGGTGTAGATACATCTAAAGGTTGGGACTCTGTAGAGGCTGGAAGTTCTGGATCGGGCCAAGAGCAGCAACTTAGCTCATGGGGCCAACAGCCTCGAACAGCCCCAGCAAGTGAGGGTAGTGGAGACAGCAGTGAAGGTCGATCTTGCTGCAGAGACAGATCCTCCAGCATGGATTTTGCTCCTTTGCTACCCCGGCAGGACTTGGACCCTAGGGTGCTGAGCAACTCAGGTTGGGGACAGACCCCCATCCGACAGCACACTGTATGGGAGATGGAAGAAGCCAACTCTGATGATGGGAAAAGCTGCAGCAGCAGCAGCAGCAGCACAGACACCATAGGAGGCTCCAGCTCTAATGGCGGACCCTCATCTACCAATGGAGGTACCATCAACCCTAGTATTGGCCCCAGTCAGAGGCCTGGGTCTGGAGGAAAAAGTGACAGTGAAGGCTCATTGTCCTCGAACTGGGGAGCCCCTCCACCCCAGCCAATCCAGCCTGGATCAGGATGGGGAGAATCCCCACAGTCACTCAGCAAGACCTCAAATGGTCCAACCAGTGGCTGGGGAGACCCTTTGCCTACTAATGGTCATAAAAGTGGGGTTACCGCATCCTGGGGTTCTGAGGACAAGTCACCTAGCTGGGATGATGGCCTAACAAAATGCCAACCTACTAGCTGGGGAGAGGGTCCCAAAAGCTCGCATGGCTGGGGCAACAGTAATGGGGGATCTAACAGCTCCAGCACAGGGGACTGGGTGGAGCCCGAGGTCAAGAACAGTGGACCTGCCAGCAGCATGTGGGAAGAAGGAGGGAATGGATGGAAAGAATCCCCCAGAAATGGAAATAGAGGAGGAGGCTGGGGTAAGCTGGCTCCTGCTGCCAGTAATAGCAGCTGGGGTGAGACCCCACGTGCCAATGGCCCTGTACAAGGAGGCTGGGGCTCTTCCAAGCCCCAGGAAAGTAGCAGCAATAGCAGCACTGGCAGTGGAGGAGGTGGCAGTATTGGTTCCTGGGGTGGTCCTGGTTGTGTGAAACAGAACACCTCTGGCTGGGGCAATGTGAGCAAACATGACCAGGGCATGGAGCCCACTGGCTGGGAAGAGCCCTCCCCTCCCTCCATTCGCAGGAAGATGGAGATTGATGATGGAACATCCACCTGGGGTGATCCCAGTGCCTACAACAAGACTGTTAACATGTGGGATCGCAACAATCCCAGTAGTAACCCAGGCAACAGTGGCCCACCTCCCAGTAAGAATGGTGGAATGATCATCCCCAACAATAACAACAACAATCACTCTGTCAGCACAGGAAACAACAATCACCATCACACGCATCACATGCACCACCATCCCCATCACAGCCAGCCCCCAGCTCACCTGCAGCACCATGGAAACAACAATGGGTCAGCCAACAATGGCGCCTCGCATCCAGGTGCAGGTCCCCAGGGTAGACCCCCCCTCACCAACCCAGGTAATAAGATATAGCTGTGCTGTTATATTATTCTATTTGCAGTTAAATTCATATTTGATATTCTGAAAATGCTAAGAAAGTTCATAATCTCTATAAGACACTGTTTGTATGTATCATGCAGATTTTTCTTAAAAACATCTAAACCTGACATATGAACCTGAAAGATTTTCAGAATTAGAGTTAATAATTGAATCCACTGAGGTATGGAGACGGACAAAGTTTGTGTTGTTATATTAGGCACATTATATTCGTAAGTACTCTTGACTTAGATGAAGATCAGATCATATTTTATGACAAATTAATGCAGAAAACCATTAAATTCCAAAAGTTTCACATACCTTTTTTTGCCACTGTAGTAGAAATGGAAGGGCTTTTGTATCCAAAACTCTCTTCTAGTTTTGATCGTGAATGAGTCTATTGCCCCCTGCAGTTTGCCAGTTGTACTACATGTACCATGGCACATCACAACCTCTTTAAGACACACTTGTGCTGAGTACAATAAAATCTAATTAGCCATCTCTAGTGAAGCTAGTACAGAGAGAGTGGAGCGGTAGAGTTTGCACCAGCTTTCATTCATCTCCTACATACACACACCACCAGACAAGTCTGACTGAGGTGGTCAAAGGTCTGCTGCTGTTTGTAGGAGGCTGGCATGAAAGGGCTCTATACATAGACAACTTAGTGCAGGCTTAACTGACAAGTGTATTGTTACTTTCTCTTATTAACATGTCACTGCATTTCATTATGAGGCCTTGTGTGACAAAAATACAGACTTTCCACCTCTGCGGTGCTTTTCATTTGATTGGATTTCCATATTATAATTTTGAGTAAAAGTCAGTTAAAGGTCTGACTTGTGCATAATGCAGATTTGAAGCCAAGATGTTTTCAGACACATTTATTGTCTTACTACTTGAGAGCATCCCTCTACTGTTTGATACTTAAAAAAAGGACTAAAGGGGAATGATGTATAACTGCAAGATAAAACTTGAATGAAGATTTTTGCTGTGGTGAGAATCACTCATCATTTTTTTTTTCTTTACTAATTGATGTCTTATTCCAGGTTGGGGAGAGCTTCCCAGTGTTCAGCCTAAGTCAGAGCCTGCTTGGGGAGAGCCAGCAGCTCCAACATCAGCTGTGGACAATGGCACCTCTGCCTGGGGCAAGCCCCCAGCTGGAGTGGGAGGATGGGGAGATGGCGGCCACAAGGCCTCTGGACCCTATGGCAGGGCCAGCGGACCTACAGGTTCTGCTCCCTGCAAGCCAGGTAACACCCACGAATGAATACTGTTTGCAGGCACAGTGACACGTGATGTCAGCTATAATAACAGTACAATGTACAGTAGATTTTTCTGCTTCAGTTTCTTTGTATGATTGTCACTGTAGGCATCTGGGTTCAGACTGTGTCCAGTGTTACCATACCTCCTGTAAAAGACTGATTGATGGTAATTCCCAGTATCTGTGCACTAGCACACTTCAGTTAAGGGACCAAAACAGGAAGTTTCTTCAGGTCTGTACCATCTGTGCCAATTCTGATGGTGCTACTGCACTGTTGCTGGGATTAAAGCAATTCCACGTCTTAGTAGGCCTTTGTTATTTCTTCTGAAATGTTGGAAATGGAAGAGGTGTTGGGCAAAAATGCAAAATTTCAAATGGCAACAGTGGCACCAAGTGGTTGGTTTGAAAATTACCTGCTGCTCCTTCTGAAATGGCTTGTGTATTTACAAGGTGCATGTAGCATACACAACAGACACTGTGTAAACAACTTGCTTACTGGTGTTTTCGCACATCTATATTCTGCTTTTAATGTCTCTTCCTCAGGCCCCAAACCTATGCAAGATAGCTGGGGAAATGGAGGAGAGGAGATAGGCATGTCTACCAGTCAATGGGAATCAGAGGATGGGGACATGTGGAACAGCCCCACCTCCCAGGAAAGCAGCTCCTCCTGCAACTCTTGGGGCAATGGACCCAAGAAGGGCCCAAGCAAGGTCAGAGAACACACACAATGATTGTCATTAATATACTGGCAAATGTTAATAATGGGAATCAATGTCATTTTAAGGAGCTACATTATTGGTAAAATGAATGAAAAATATTTTGCTTGTGTGTTGTCAGGGAAAGATTGGCAACAAACCAGATGAGACCTGGATCATGAACCGTCTTATCAAACAGCTCACTGACATGGGCTTTCCGGTATGGAAAGATTGACCTTCACTGACATATAACACTGACGGGCTTTCTTTTAGGGGGGTCTTTGTTATAGTTTTTATAAAAACCCAAATCAGTCACAAATAAGCTACTTTTAATAGAAGTATTCTGCTATACTGAATAGAAACAGTTAAAGGGAAAATAAAACCATCCAGCAATAAATTCAGTGATCTAAGCTCAAGAAAACTGTTCAGCTAGGGGGAAAATGACCTCTAACCCTCCCTATAATTAAGCCATTATCTCTGACATGCATGTTTATGTTGCAGAGAGACCCTGCTGAGGAGGCTTTGAAGAGCAACAACATGAACCTTGACCAGGCAATGAGTAAGTTCACCAACATATTCATGTGGTTTGCACATCCTTGTGTATGTATTGTGAAACAATGATATGGTTTGAATCAGTGTAAGCACTAATATGCACCTTTTTGTATCTTAAATAAAGGAATTTGTAATTCAACACTGTCGCTACAATCCCCTCTTTGATTCAGCTGAGAATGATACCAAGCTGTACATTTAAATACCTTTAAAGCACATGACTTAATTAGAATATTGTATTATGAATTGGTTTTGTCACAGAGTATATTTTCTTGACTAGATTTCATAATAACCTTTGCCATCCTTCATGTTTGCTTCTAGGCGCTCTGTTGGAGAAGAAGACTGACCTGGACAAACGGGGCATGGGCATGTCTGATTACAGCAACGGCATGAACAAGGCCCTGGTGTGTCGGCCCTCTGCACTCTCCAAAGACCCCTCCGACCGCACCACCTTTCTCGAAAAGGTAAAAAACAAGCCACAAGTCTTTCCAAGCATCTTTTGGAAATGATAAGTATAGCAACAAAAAACATAAATACATGGTGGTACTGTTTCTCTTACTTGCACTTTTGTCGGTGCTTTGTTTTTATATTTCTCTGGGCATTTGCTGTTTTATAATTTTACATAGTAATTATTTTGGCATGTGGTACAAAGAAAGGTTAAGAAGAGTTATGAATTTTAATATCTCATCATTCCTGTGATCAGTAAAAATATTTGCATAAAATCTTTCTTTGCATACTTAATTATTTGTCTGTGATGTGTAATGATTAATGCTTTTTTCTTATCTCTCCACTTCCCTGCCATCCATTTACTCTGCCTGTTTCAGGATGGTGTTCTGTCAGATGATGCCCCCCCATCACCGTTTCTGCCTTCCCCCAGCCTAAAGCTCCCCCTGGCCAACAGTAGCCTTCCTGGGCAGGGTCTGGGACAGAGCAGCCCGGGGCTAGCCATGCAAAACTTGAACAACAGACAGGTAAAACCTAGACTACACAATGCCACATGAAGTAAACTGAGTTGTAAAATATAACAGAAACACTGTTACATAACCCAAATAATAGAACTATTCTATGTGAGGCGTATATTTTCTGTTAATATTGAGTTAACGTTGTTCAGACTGTGGTCATTTTTTGACAATATAAGGAACAGCAATATGTTTCACAGTGGGTTTTAATATACAGAATAGTGAAAAACAGAGTTTCCATCCATCCATTTTCCTCCGCTTATCCGGGACCGGGTCGGGCCTCCTCCCGGTGGGACATGCCTGGAACACCTTCCTAGGAAGGCGCCCAGGAGGCATCCGAAAGAGATGCCCGAGCCACCTCAGCTGGCTCCTCTCGATGTGGAGGAGCAGCGGTTCTACTCTGAGCTCCTCCCGGGTGACCGAGCTCCTCACCCTATCTCTAAGGGTGTGCCCGGCCTCCCTGCGGAGAAAGCTCATTTCGGCTGCCTGTATCCGGGATCTTGCCCTTTCGGTCATGACCCAAAGTTCATGACCATAGGTGAGAGTGGGAACGTAGATTGACCAGTAAATCGAGAGCTTCGCCTTACAGCTCAGCTCCTTCTTCACCACGACGGACCGGTACATCGACCGCATTACTGCAGAAGCTGCACCGATCCACCTGTCAATCTCCCGTTCCATCCTTCCCTCACTCGTGAACAAGACCCCAAGATACTTGAACTCCTCCACTTGAGGCAGGAACTCTCCACCAACCTGAAGGGAACAAGCCACCCTTTTCCCGACTGAGAACCATGGCCTCGGATTTGGAGGGGCTGATTCTCATCCCAGCCGCTTCACACTCAGTTGCAAACCGCCCCAGTGCACGCTGGAGGTCCTGGTTTGATGGAGCCAACAGGACAACGTCGTCTGCAAAAAGCAGAGACGAGATCCTGTGGTCCCCAAACCGGACTCCCTCCGGCCCCTGGCTGCGCCTGGAAATTCTGTCCATAAAAATGATGAACAGAACCAGTGACAAAGGGCAGTCCTGCCGGAGTCCAACATGCACTGGAAACAAGTCTGACTTACTGCCGGCTATGCGAACCGAGCCAACAACAGAGTTTATAGCTTCAAAATAGAGGAGAGGAAAAATGTTGAAATTTGAACCAGCAACATACTGTAGATGCACAGCGCCTGTGTGTCCTCAATTAACACTGTAATTATTCAGGTCAAAACATAATTTTCTCGACAGTCTGTGTTTATCACACCCCCAATTCAAAACCATCATTTTAAAATTGAATGCCCTTGTGTCTAGGATTTAAGTGTATATGATGCAGCAATGGCAACAACATAAATTGAATCCATTCTACACACACACGCTCTCAAATGTCTGCTTTCTATTACTCACTTATGTGTGTATGACCTTGCCTGAAGTACCCATTGAAATCAGACAGTTATGCTCTATCAAATATCAACCCCAGAGGCTGCCATGGCCCAGAAAAAATGCAGTGTGTCCTTGAAGCCCAAACAAAGGCACTGTAAGCCAGTCTTTTTTTTCTGTGCAATGAATAGAAAGACCTCTTCAACATGGAATTGAAATTCTGGATGAAGCTGCCACTTACAGACTAATTGTTTTGGGACATTCAGAATGGTGACAATTTTATGATCTAAATAATTAGCTGCCCTCAGTTAGTGTTCAGTATATGCCTTGGTGCACAAGGTGCGGTGTGAAGTTATTAGACCTTGCTGTGCACATTGTAAGGACCTTTTTGGCAGATTTGTGATACTGAGCTATGTTTGAAAAATGATTTTAGATATTGTTACAAGGACTAGGAATGTCACGAACCCAAGCTAGGCTTTTGAATTTGCTTTTCCAGTTCTGTTCAAGTGCACTCACTTGGGTATTGAATGGAACCATCATATTTGTAAAGACCTGACAGTGCTCCATTGGTGACTTCAGCTCAGCTCTTCAGTTTTGACAAGGCATGAAATGGCTTCAGTAATGTGAATGAGCGTTGCGGTTTTGAAGAACTTTCATTGTGCCTTCGTATTTGCAGATACCAAGTGGAATGTTTGGCAGTAGTGGAGCAGCACAAACCCGGGCCATGCAGCAGCAGCAGCCGCCTCCTCAGCCACCAGTGCCACCTCTGAGCTCCTCCCAGCCTAGTCTACGTGCTCAAGTGCCTCAGTTTCTCTCCCCTCAGGTAAACAAAATCGCATAGTATTGATATATTGGGTGCGTAGCATAGAGTTTCGTCAGTTCATCACCTGCAGGACCAGGAGAAAGCTGGCTGGTGGAGTGTACTGAGTTTCCTATGCAGCAGGAAACGCTATTTGATATCCTAAATTGTAAATATTGTTTTCTCTGCCTATGTATGTTTCTTTTGTATCTTTTCCTCATTTAATGTCTTACTCTATTTGTACTCTTACTTTGACTTAATTAATGTGGTAACATGCAGGCCAACATCCTCTAAAACAGTAAGCCACTGTAGCCATCGTAGTCACACACAGGCAGAAAGAATTTTAAAAGACCCGGCGCACATCCGTCATAAAGATTTTGAATTATTACCCTCAGGGAAATGGTTTCTAGAGTTTCTAGATGAGAGTTGAATAGATTCAAAAGCTCATTTATTCCTGTATCGGCGAAATCTGTGAATGACAGCCTTAAAAAGCTATATTGTTTATTTATATATGTTGTACCTCTGCTAAATTTGTTCACCTTAACTTCACTGTTTTCTTCCATTTTAATCTGATACTGTTTTTAATTTAATGTTTGATTTTATATTATGTTTTTATATAAAGGTGCAACATGATGTTGGGGACAAAATAAGTATGTCTATATCTATCTATTCATATCTATCTGTAATTTATTCTGCATCATAGTTATGCTGAAACACTCTTAACAATTGGAAAATCAGGCTTTGATTGCTTATATTTATTCTCCTCCTTCTGTTTGTTTTTTTTTCATTTACTAATCTGATTGCCATCTTTGACAAGAAGCCAAAACTGGTAGTATCATTTCAGTCTGTAATACTCTTGGAAAAGCCAAGATTTTAAAAGTAAACCAGTGGAAATATATTGTGAAGACAGATAGAAAGATTATCAGACTTCATTGTCTGAGAACAATACAATGGCTGTTTCAACCTCTTGACTTTAAGACTCCTCTGCCAGACACTTTCCTCCTTGCATGCACCGCAACTAGCGTTACATTGCAGGAAGCTGCTGTGGTGCAGTTGTTTTGATGTGCAGTGACTAACCTGCCATCTTCTGTTTCTGCTTCCCCATTCTCCTGTTCCCTGCAGGTCCAAGCACAGCTCTTGCAGTTTGCAGCAAAAAACATTGGTCTGAATCCTGCACTTTTAACCTCACCAATAAACCCTCAACAAATGACCCTGTTGTACCAACTTCAGCAATTGCAAATGGTGAGTCAACATTCCTCCTTCCGTCTGGATTTATAGCCCATCTTATACTAAAGGGCCTGAGGCAAAGAATGCATGTTAAGGGTGTTTTTGATGAGGACCAGGCTCTAGTTTAAATGGAACAGAAATTAAAGCCAGTCACACAATACTAAAATGTCTTATTTTTCATAATGTCTTGATGTTAGCTTTGAATATATTTTCAGATTTACTGAGTTATGTCCAGTATTTAATTAAGAAGATGTCTATTTGAAAATTTAACAAGATTTGTCAGATCCTACCAGTTGACCCCTCTCTCCTACTTGGCTGTATTTTTCCCTCCTGTAATGTATTGATTTATTTTTGTATTGTAATTTTGATTCAGGCGTACCAGCGTTTACAAATCCAACAGCAGATGATGCAGGCGCAGCGCAATGTTTCCGGCCCCATTAGACAACAAGAGCAGCAAGTGAGTCAACAAATGAGTGTGATCATAAAAGTCATTTGCTATCTGTATGTGACCGCATGTCATCACTGACTCAGACCACTGTGACACAACTTCTTTCTTTTTTTTTTTTTTAAGTCAACAGATGTTTTGGCATGATACCGTAACAACATGCAGTGAAGACAAGTTGCACAAAGGAGTTGCACAAGCTTTAAGAGATTTGTGTGGGAACAGATACTTCTTGTTGAATAAAGAGAGCTTGTTCTCCTTTTGTGAGGTTTTGTTAAACAAATGCCAGTAATGAAGCCTTTGTGAACAAGTGTTCATAACCGTTCACAACATTTTCCCCCAGCTGTGCCTTTTAATAATCTATTCTTCCTGTACCCGCCCTCGTTCTGCCGTGATTCTCTGTTGTCTTCTTTTCACTGTCTACCTTCATTTGTACAATACATCATCATAATTCTCATCTTTCTAACCTCAACAGTTTTTTTCTTCCTTCTTCTTATGTCTCTTTATTTTTCCGTCCTTCTTGCTTTTGCCAAAACAGAATTTGCTTAATCTTCTCGCCAATACGTCCTTTTATGATACAGTATTGTGCTGTTTTTTCCCCCAGGTTGCACGTACAATCACCAACATGCAGCAGCAGATCCAGCAGCACCAACGTCAGCTGTACCAGGCACTGCTGATGAAGCAGCAACTTCCCTCTCATTCCTCCTCCTCTTCCTCATCCTCCTCCTCCTCCTCCTCCGCCGGTCTGCATCCCCCAAGTGGCCCTGCCGGAGGCCCTGGCTCCGGCAAATCAACCCTGGACCCCTTCACAGGCCCACACCAGGCTCAGAGCCTTGCCGACACACTGCACACCAAAGAGCCGCCATCATCGCCCAACGCCTACAGCACCTACCCTCTCTGTGAGTCTAGGACAGGGACAACACAAGGTTAAACAGAATTTTTTTTGGCATGATCTTTGTCTGACAAAATGTGGCCTGCTTGTTGAGAGTAGCAGTTTTTGTGTGCTACCTCCTACCTTAAGATATAGCAGTCCATACTCATACCATACAGTGTGGAGTTTTCCTGTGTTTTAACTGGTACAAACAAACATCTTCTACCATTCACATGCCTATTCTGAATAAATTAAAAGATATTTTTTTTATGTGTGCAGCTGGACTGAATCCAAACATGAATGTAAACTGCATGGAAGTTGGGGGTCTGTCCCTAAAGGAGCCCCCTCAGCCCCAGTCCCGCCTGTCCCAGTGGACACACTCCAACTCCATGGACAACCTCCCTGGCAACTCCTCAAACATGGAGAACAACCTCAATAAGCACGGTAGGTTGGAGAAGAACACAGGTGAGCCTGCGCACATTCGCAGAAAATCGGGATTCAAATAAAAATGAAACCATATTTATGGAAGACATCTAGTGATGTTATGATATAAATAAATTGCCATGCTAAATAAATCTATACATTGTACAGATTCTGTACAGTGCCCTTGCACACTGGTTGTATTGTTAATTTCCACTAGGCAGCTCATGTGTTGTACAATACAGATAACAGCTATAATTCAGTAGGGATTTAAATGTAATCCCTCTTAACAGGTGCAGTAGTTCTCTTCTGCACAGGGCAGATGAATGGACTTTATGGATTGTTAGACATATTGAACATTTGCAAAGTGTGTTTGGTGTTTTGCTGATATGGTATAAAATAATAAGTATTCTTAAAACTGATATTATAAATAGAAGTGAGTTACAAAGAGTTTGGCGAACTACATAATTCCTATATTTACTTGTAATAAATTCAATTTGTTGCATGTTTTTGTTTATATGATTTGTGTTTGTTTATACTAGGTGCCATATCTGCTGCCTCTACTCTGGGCCCCCCTGGGAAGCCCCCCCAGCTGGAGGACTCGTACAGCCCTTACAATCTAATATCCAGCTCCGACTCACCCACCAGCCCCCTGGTGCCCCCAGACAGCTGGGGCCAGGGCAAGAGCCCTAACGAAAAGATCTCCAATGGGACCAACATTAACTGGCCCCCAGGTGAGGACGTGAAAATATTAAAGCTGTGTGTTTTTGTAATCCTGCTTTTTTTAATTATTATTATTAATGCTTGCTGTCTTCTTAGTCTTCATTCCTTTTCTGATTTTGGTGTTTTACCAGTTGTCTTCACAGTTATAGTCACAGATTATTGTGATGGTCAAATCTGAGGGGAGCATAGCAACAAAAGTGTTTTACACACAACTGCAAAAGGCAGTGATCAGATTAGGCCTTTTTCATTCTGTCATAGCAGGTAAAGCACAGATTATACTAATAACATTAACATTAAGCCTGTACCCCAGGAAGTCAGAACAGTGTGACACTGAGCCAGTCTGCACAAGGTCAGGACCTTGAAACAGAAGGAGCTAAATAAAATTGAGCCACAGTTTATTTTATTATTGACATTTGTGCTTTATGGCCAAATGTCTTCAGTAAAATTATGGCTATGGCCAACCACAGTTCTCAACAGGAACAGCAGTTACCATATTACCTGAAGAAACTGGGGAAATACATACAAAAGCTCACTTCAACCATTGTATATATTACAAAAAAGAGCAATAAGAATTGTGCATAAGATGGGGTACAGGGATCACACCAATGGAGCTTTCATACAGTCTAAATTGTTAAAATGTTCTGATTTAGTGGGATATAAGACTGCTGTGTTTATGTATAAAGCCAGGAACAATTTATTACCTGGTCGAATGCAATAATTTACCTGATGTTTTTGTAACAAAACTGTTGATTTGGGGCATATAAGGGTTTAATTATTCTTGCAGCAAGGGAGCATTCAATACACACAATATGGTTGGAAGAAGAAAATGCTCAGAGAGCCGGTCTCTCTGAAAGTCATTTATACAGTCAGACTTAACAGTCGTGGCAAGTTCTGTGTCATCGTTGGCTCCTGGAACAGATACAGTATGGCTGTATCTCTACAGTTCTACTGCTTATGAGAAGTGAGTTGGTGTAGCACACAACAGCAAAACACAATCAGTAAAGTACATACGGTATCTAAATATGTATGGTATCTATTCTAGATCTACTCTTTGCAAGTACAGAACGTATAATAATTGTACTGTGGGTTACTTGATGTTACTGTCTCTTGATAAACATTTTTCCAACATTACTGTATCAATATCCATCCATCCATTTTCCTCTGCTTATCCGGGACCGGGTCGCGGGGGCAGCAGTCTAAGCAAAGATGCCCAGACTTCCCTCTCTCCAGACACTTCCTCCAGCTCCTCCGGGGGAATGCCGAGGCGTTCCCAGGCCAGCCGAGAGACATAGTCCCTCCAGCGTGTCCTGGGTCTTCCCCGGGGCCTCCTCCCGGTGGGACATGCCCGGAACACCTCCCTAGGAAGGCGCAAATTGATATTGGATTAGCATTTGTTGGATATGTGTAAAATTATGTGTGTTGACATATCAAATGTCTTTACATGCTTGAAAGAATAAATCAAATCAAATCAAATCAAGTAAAGCGTTTTGAGGAAGGGACAAGTCTGGGCAATGTGATGCCACCGCAAGTTCAAAATGCAATGCAAATGTTTTCACTACAAATTTAAAAAAGAGGAACAAGAGTAATGCCAGCAGTTGCATCATCAAGTAAGGAAGTCATGTGATGACGGGCTAAGTTCCTCAATATACGATATTGTTTCAGTAACCCCTCATTCGGCTGTTTTTGTTTCTCCTACCTTAGAGTTCTGCCCAGGTGTGCCATGGAAGGGCCTTCAGAACATTGACCCTGAGAATGACCCCAACATGACCCCTGGCAGCGTCCCTAGTGGGCCCACCATCAACACAAACATCCACGACGTAAACCGATACCTGCTGAGGGACAGGAATGGAGGTATGAACAGAAATGAGGCCAGAGATATCAGTTTAAGACCATCAGTGAACTTACAGAACACATACTATGAAAAGTGAACCAGATGAGAATTAATAATCACTTGCACCAGCTCACCCAGGTGATCTTCACCACAGGCCCCAGTGTCATGTGCTTGTACTAGTCTCATGAAGTTACATGTGTTGTTTTCTTCTCCTCTGTATGTGGTCACAACACATAGCCACTTCCCCACATCAGAATGGCTCTCTGCCTCCAACCAGCAGTGACTGGCCAGACAGTGGCTGCTCTAGCTCTTTCAGCCTGTCGTCCTCTGATGGAGACAGCTCAGGTACACAACCGGAGTACCTCTCCTCATCTGAATGGGAGCCCTTAGCCTTAAATCAGTGATGCAACACTCCTCCTTACTTATCCTAAACCTTACCCAACTCCTGACCCGTGTTTATGAACCCTCTTATTCTAAGTCACACCTAAACTTGTTCCCTCATCTCAGCAGACAACACCTCTACTCACACTATAACAGCAACGTCAAATGTGACCTTCAACCTTCTGTGCCTCTTTAACCTAACCCACAAAAAGAAAAACAAGCCTCACCCCAGCTGGTCCTGCACCAGTACACACCCTGTTTTGTGTGTGTGAATTCAGTTCTCTTTGTGATGTGATTTGTAAAATATAATATATGTAGACACTTCTTTTGTATCAGCACCCTTTTTGATTTTTTTTCCCAGTTCACTATTAAAATATAAAGCTTTTTTTTCACTCGGGATTGAAGAAATGACTTTTTAACGCTTTAAATTTCAGTAGTAATACAAAGAATCATGTCAAACAGCAGTATAAGCCACTAACCCCTTGTTCATCATACTTGGGTTTAAAACATTTGGCACTGCTTTTAGATGAGTGCCATCCACATCTTTGTCTGTAACTTAATATTCTCTTAAATGTCTTCCCATCCTCTATAAAGGTAAACTGTCTGACATGAAGTCCACCTGGTCCCCAGGACCTATCTCCCAGAGCCAAGCCTCTCTCTCCCATGAGCTGTGGAAAGTCCCGCAGGGGCCGCGCAGCACCACGGCTCCTTCTCGGCCCCCACCGGGCCTGACCAATACCAAGCCCTCCTCCACCTGGGGTGGCAACTCACTCGGCCTGGCCCAAGGCTGGAGCGGCTCCTACTCCTCTGGTGAGCGCTCTGCTCTACATCAACTGTACTTCAGTTCTATTCGAAGAGTGCCTTATGGCACAGACTGGAAGTCATACAAAGAACATAGGACAAAAATATCTTTTACAGGTGCTGAACCAACAACGGCTTAAAGGCAAAAAGCAAGAAAAACAGTCTGCACACTGTGTTAAGCTCCCAATAATTACATTCAATAGTAGCCACGTTTCAACCCATACAAGATCTTTCATCAGGCATTATTGATAATGCTTGACGACAAAACGTTGCTGCTATTGAATTAAATTTTTGGGTGGTTGACACACTATGCAGACTTTGTTCTTGCTACAGATCATTCTTCCAGCCTTTCCAGCTAACCTACAATTTCAAGTGTACTTCAAATTATAATGTTGAAAGATGTAAACAAACAGATGCAGAAGTTTTGCCTATATTTGTTTATGCTGTCCATATATATTCTACACATGTGAAACATTACCAAAGTTTTCAGGTTTCACTTTGCAGGATTTCTCTTTATATAGACAAGATCTTATATTATCTTAAAATAATTGTAATATAGGTCTGTTAACTTATGAAGAACTAAATATCATTTTGTTGCCAAGATTTTTACTTTGAAATTGCTGTCTTGAAGCTATTTACAACATTTATAGTAAATCAAAAGGTTTCAACAAAATCTTGGAGTGTGACTTTCACCAAACGAAAACACAGATGTTAGTTCCCCTGTGATGTAGTTCACACCCAGCAGCATGAAGATGCATAGGTGTGGGACTGTGCACTCACAGTACTCGCTGTATAATTGTTGGGTGAACACACCCTGCCAAACTGACATTTTGAGGTTTACCGGCACATCGAGAAACCACATTGATACATCATATATAGATGACCTTGTTTTGACTTGATATGTGAATTGAAGAGGAAAAAGAACTTTCAGTGGTGCACGCAGAAATAGTGTGTGGAAATGTGTGTTGAAAATGGTGAAATGTGTCACTTTTGTTGTTTGATTTTTCTGTTTAAAAAAGTTCAATTCTGACATCAAGTCCACTGTACAGCTCCAGGGCAGCTTTTTAAAATAGTAAATGGTAAAGTAAACACACTTACTTTGAAATACAGTAAGTTTCCCTTTTGTATTTATATTAAATGGCTACAGACACTTAAAATATGTTATTCACTTTGTATTGAGCCAGTACTTTTGAAGAGAGGAGCCTCTTCAGGCTTCTTATCCTGTATTTTGTCTATTGGACTAATGTAAATGACTGATGTAAACACAATAGCTTGTACTAACAAAAACGCTCTAAACTTCATTTCTGTTCCAGAAGGAACCACCTGGAGCACCGACAGCTCCAACAGGACCAGCAGCTGGCTGGTGCTGAGAAATCTCACTCCACAAGTATGTATTCTGTGCTGCCACAGTGTAATGAGTAATGCTAAGATGTAAATACATCTCAAAATAAAATTTCATCAAAAGGCTTAGTGGCAGCATTATGCCAAATAAATTATTTTGTGTATTTAGTTTTTCTCTTATGAAGCCTGATACCAAGCACTTGCATTTTATTTACAAAGTTAAGAAAATAAAAGTAAAATGAAACCAGAAATCAAAGGACAAGGAGTGGACAGTGAGAAAGGGAATTAAATGTGAAATAGATGAACAAACTCAGATAGTAGCTGTAATTGCAAATTTATTTATTTATTTATTTTTTTTGTGCTCCAGATCGATGGTTCGACTCTGCGGACCCTGTGCATGCAGCATGGCCCCCTGATCACATTCCACCTCAGCCTGACCCAGGGGAACGCCGTGGTGCGCTACAGCTCCAAGGACGAGGCCGCCAAGGCCCAGAAGTCCCTGCACATGTACGTCTCAGCAAAACTTTGCTCAGGGAACAGAAACTAGACACATTTTCTTTTCTTTTTTTTTACCTCTTAACTTTTACTGCTTTCCATATTTTGAAAAGCAGCTTTAACAGAGAATGAAAACTGGGAGCACTTGGGGAAACCCAGTGTTCCTGGTTACATATTGTAACATGCTGAGTTCAGTGCAGACGGTGTTATTTTTATATTTTGGTAGTCACATGAAAGAGGAGGTGATGAGTCACACTGTAGTCAGCTGTATTGTAATATTACATTTAATATGACTACAGGTATTAGAATGGGAGAAGACACCACTATAGAGCCAGTTTGAGGGACTGTTTTATCTGTGTCTAAGATTTGTCCCTAATTTTGTTTTGCTAATGGTCCCCGTCACTGTAGCTGGTTGACATGGAAACATAATGCAACACATGACCCATTTTTCATAATAAGCAGCAAAAAAAATGTGGTTGTAGCACAGAAAGTGTTATAACGTGATTAAGTCCTAAATAACCAGTAGCATTTGCTTAGAAAATGTGTCAGGTGTACGCTGGCCTATTTTTACACAGAGACTGATTTTCTAAACATTAAGACTCTTTGTTCCATTCATTTTTGGCAGGCTTATCATAAGATTTCCCCTTTTGCCCTCTCTAAGGTGTGTGCTTGGAAACACCACCATCCTGGCGGAGTTTGCCGGCGAGGAGGAGGTGAACCGCTTCTTTGCACAAGGCCAGTCACTAGGGGCAAACACCACTAGCTGGCAGGCCAACCCGGGAGCCAATCAAAACCGGATGGGCGGGGCAACCCAGTCCCACTCAATTGGCCAGTGGAGCAGCGGCGGAGGTGGAGGCAAGGCCAGCGGAGGCGACATGCTGTGGGGCGGGGTGCCCCAGTATTCTAGCCTGTGGGGACCGCCAAGCGGAGAGGATGCCCGTGTGATCGCGAGCCCCACCCCCATTAATACCCTGCTGCCTGGAGATCTGCTGAGTGGGGAGTCCATGTAGGATGATGCCACTATACACTAACCCACCAACCCACCACCGCCATGTCATGTAAGGCGTCGGTGAAGGGCGGGGTGAAAAAAAAATTCAGTATGAACAGGAGCAAAGCCCAAGCAAATCATGTGGCGATAATCAGTATCAATTTGAACTGTGAATTGTGAATCAGAAGGCTGGAGTCCCTACCACACAGACTGCCAACTACAGTCCTTCTGTTTTACTTTTGTCCTTTCGGTTTGGTTTACCTTGTTTTGGGGGGAAAAATTATTTTTTTTTCCCTTTTACTATTTTTGAAATGCATAATATGGAACTAACTGAAATGAGACACAACACAAAGAAATCTTTTAAGTGTTTTTTAGTTTTTCCATAAGTATAGACACTCTGTGTGAAGTGTTTTTAGAAGAAGCAATCA